GGAGCTAATTGTTCTAACTGGTATTTAGTTTAAGCTGTGCTTCTTTCTTTCCCAAAACTGAGGAAAGGCATTTTATGTCCAAAAACTTTTCTAGTTTCAACTATAAACAAAGGTGGCAGAAGGCTGGGGCTAATGGGGCTTAGCCCTCCCAAACTGGGCCGGTGACAGCGGCTCCAGCAGTACTGCTGCACCCTGCTGTGGCAGCACCATGCCTAGTGTGCCCACCGTGTGCTCCTCTGCCACCACATGTATAGCACCAGAGTGCACCGGCCCCCACAACAGCCCTTTGAGAGGAAGGGGCAGGGCCAGGCCCAGGTGGGAGCGCCCTGCACTGCCCAGCCCCCCAAATAATATTTTCTCCTGCCACTTATAAATATAGTTGGGCCAATAAGAGACACTGACATTAACAAACAACTTGTTGCTTCTTCCACGTACCCTGGACCACCATGGCAACAACACTTGCCTTTCTGTAACATGGCAATGAGCACTGGCCTGCCACTTCTGATCTCAAGGGAAGGTGTTTTATGGAGGAATCTGAAGGAAGGGAATTGTAGTAGATTAAAGTAGCGGTAGTGGATGGAGCAGCGATAAGAGTAGGCTGTGTGGAACATAAATTACATGTGAAGATGATCTGTCTTCCAATGTGCTATGACTTTTTATGAACTTTTATACTCCCACACTCTTTGCTTACTAACCTATGTCTTCTGAAACTTGATATGTGTCTGCAGCAGTTCACCCTCCTTCACTCCAATGAGTGAAGGTTAGATATATTTTTCTGTACATGTGCAGAACCAACAGGATGTTAGCAGGCCATAAGATTGCATTACAGTGTGTGCATACAACATTTATTCTATGTCTTTCTTTGGCAAATACTAACTTTACTAGACTACCTGATGACAATTGCATCTGTGGCCTAGGACTAGCTCCTTGTAACAGTTCAAATTGCAATCTTAAATGGAAAAAGGTGGAGCGAGAAGAGTGCATGTTTCCCCACTGTCTGGTCTTCATAATTACAACTTAAACTGGGCTGAGAATGAGCCTATTAAATTTGGTCTGAAATGTTCAGAAACCTTTACTGGAAAAATGGAACTATAAAAAGGCACATTAGAATGGTAATGCTTATTCAGCAGCTATTAAATTTCAACTCTAGGTTTTGTTACATGAATCAGATATTACTTAGTTATAATATAGGGAATAGAGTCTATGCCTAGAAACATTATATGAAAATGCATCACCATTTGTTTGTCTTCAGTAAGTTCCATGATTTTTATTAAAGCAATGCATTGGTGTAATTACTCTATCTACTCAGTCAAAAGAATGTATCCTTTTGTATAAACTGATGTAAAAGAAGCTGGGACATGTTGAGCCCAAGTGGGAGTAGCTGAAAGGTAGAAGGCTGCCATTTAAGAACTAGGGTATTATGTATGCATTGTCAAAACAGCTGCTTTTAAACCTCTGAACGGAGGTAAAATAACTGGCATGCTTTATGTAATGGATAATCCTCGTGTCAGGATTACAAATTAAGGGTTTAAAACAATCCTCACTTGAATTGTATTTCAAGTTGATGGCAATACTGTGTATTTAATCCAGCTGTATATGAAACTCTCAAATGTGAGAAATAACGTAATTTATAATTCTAATAAGCACCTATATTCATATGATTCTGTACATTTTCACATGAGTAAAGCTAACCACACAAATGTATTTGAAAGCTCTGGACTTTGTTATTATCATAAAGATATAAAGCATTAAAGATAATGAAATTTTAATTTCGAGGGGAATTTAAATTGAATTTTTCTGATTCATATGTAAATTTGATAGAATAAAATGGTATGCCTGGCCAATTGATGCATAGCTTGCTGGTTTGTAAAAGTTAATTTGATTTATTGTATTTACGAGAATACAAGATGAAGTCCTATGTGTCCTCCCTCCCCC